GGCAACGCTGAATGAAATAAAGAAGTGCAATATATAATAGATAAGAAAGTGCTATTTTTCAGAGCCAAGCATTATCTTAGTTTTATTGGATTTTGAAAGTATTTATTTATTTCTCTAGATAAAAGACTGTGCGTGATTTGGAATATAAAGAATCAGATTTGCGTGTGATTTATAAATCTCTCGTTTTGTTTTCATTCCTTTGATAAATTCCTTAGGAATAGGTGAAGGTGTCCCTTTGGAGCCTTTCTTTTGTGTTTTTTTAAAAAATTTGGCTTTGGAAGGACCTGTTTGTCTTTCACTTTCTTACCTTTTTAAATCCCTGGCAGTGTGGTGAGCTTGCGACGGTGGCCTGGGAGCGCGTCGTGAAGGACAAGGGGGGATGTGGGGTAGCTGACCGGAAGATGACATGAATAAAGTCCTTTGTGCTTTTCTGTTACCTGCTGGGTGGATTTACTTTCACAACATGGGACACTTTAAAACGAAATACCTGGGATGTTCTGTAATTTTTCATCTTAACAGAAGAAAGGAAAACACCACCAACAAAAACCACCACTTAGACCCCAAACATCGTCTTACAGGGACAGCTAAACGTGAGGTACAAGACGACCTAGCTCGTTTAGGCTTTTGGCTGAGATGCTACTTGGTTTAAACACGCCCTTGCCGACCTGGAGACGTGAGATGCTGGAGGCCCGACGAAACCAACCCGGGCCCCGCTCCGACATCCTCACCGTGGAGTCGGCGACTCTAAGAGCGGACGGGTAGATTCACTGTGTCAGGTCCATCGTGAGCCCGCTCGGTGCCCTGTTCCGCGGCTCGGGGACCGTGGTGTTTCTGTGTCAGGCAGCTGGAGGCCTCTTTGGAGCTCTGGGACTCGGGCATTTACCTGGCCTGCCTTCAGTTCTCATCGAGAAATGATCGAATATATAAGCTAATATCAGTGAAGGTCATATTAGCCTTTTGTTTGTTTTAGAAATTTTTCCTAAATTGTTAAGGACTCTGCGTATGGTGGGTTTTTGATGAGTATGAAATGAATGAAGGACTCTGCCTTTAGGGTGTGAGAAGTAAACGTGAGAAAGCGTGGAAGGGCCTGCGAAGGCTCTGCTGCGTTAGGGGCGTGCGGGAAGCGCCGCTCGTGATAGTTTTGTCTTCGCATCCGTCTGCCTGTAATCCTGTTTCCCTCTCCTCTTCTGTTCCAGTCTACCTTCCCGACTCTTCCCGTCAGCCAGCTTACTGTCCCCACAGGCCGTAGGCCATGCCCGTTGACATCTCTCTCCAGTTGGCACTTGATAGGACTTTGTGTGGTTCCCCAGACATTCTCATACGTGTCCTCTCCCGAGTAACCCCATTTCTTGTCCTGCTTAGATAATGACATGTGGCTTCGGTCCCCAGGGCACTGAGCCTATAACAGCGTTCTTAAGGGGAGTCCTCTGGGGACTCAGTCCCAAGACTCCCAAGGGACTCTTGCCCCTCATAAACCACTAGCCCAATAACATCATTAATATAGGGATCTGGACTCAGCAATTCACAAATGATGGCAGGTTCTCATCAGACGGTAGCTCTGGGCCAGGCAGAGTCCAAAACGCTTTTCATACATCACCTCACCTCACCTCCAGAGTCTGACTTGATGAGCATTCCCGGCTTCCACTTACCCACTTGCCCGAGGTCACATTGCTCATGGTTTGGAAGTTAGGATGTGAGCCCAGGTGGAATCTCAGACGCCTGGCCTCCACTCTGCTTTTATATTCCTCTGCATCCTGGTAAGTTCAGGGGCAGAGCCTTGACTTTCATTCTTTAGGGCTTGATTTTAAATTTTAACAATGATACGCAGCTGTAGTTTTAAAGCATCTCAGTGTAGTCCCTGCCTACTGTTCTACCTACCACTTCAGGTCTCATTTCCCTCATGGCAACCACTGCTAACATCTTCAGAATTATTTTCTTTATTAAGACTTTCCTTTTTAACCCTGTAGTGTGATTCTCTTCTCAGCGTTTTGTCTTCTGAAAAGTCAGCTTATTCCTAGTCAGTTGGCGGAAGCGTTAAATAGAAATAGTCCAAGGTCAACTTGAGTTGACCCTATGAGACAGGTGTTCCACCTGTGTCCCAGGCAGGTTTCTAAAATTAATCAAATTCTTTCCTGTTTGGGACCCATTGACACGAGTTTCTGCCTGAAGGAGACCTACTTAGAGTCCAAAACTCCAGGCTGATGAATTTTTCAAATTCCCGGGACCGAAGCTGTTACTTGACAATTCATCTACAACGGTCTCACCTTGATGCTCACAGAGAAATGAACAGACTCCTTGGCTAAGGAAACCGGGCGAGATGCTCTTTTCAACTCAAGAATCAAATGTTTCCTGAACAATATGAAGAATGTTTTGTTTCCAGGTTCCTGCCTTTTCTCTACCCCTCCCTTCATGAAGGAGAAGACTCTAATTTTTTTTTTTAGTTAGTTGCATTTTGAAAAAAAATATATTTTCATTGAGTTTTGTTTTTTTTTTTTTTTT